ACACAGTGGGCACTTAATGTTTATTAAGGGCCTACTATGTTCTAGACACTGGCAGACTAAACACAAAATGAAGCAGTCTTTGTGTTTAATGATCTTATGTTCTATTTTGAGTGGGATGGGGGCAACACGAGCACACAAAAGAAAACACTAAATGAAAACTAGGTAACTTTGGGGCACAGGCACTAACAGCTGGGGAGACCCAGAAAGACTTCATGTAAAAGGCGGCCCCTGAGCTGAGCTCTGAAAGGGAACCAGGGCGTCTAGACAGGTGGAGGTGAGGAAGGAGCACCTTTCAGGCATGGGGGACAGCCACTGCAAGTGCTTGGAGATGGGAGAAAGTACAAGACAGGTGGGGAGGGGGCAGGGCCACAGAAACAAACAGAGGAGGACTGGGGCGTGGGCAGACCTGCGCTGCGATCCTGGGGCTGGGTGACCGTGGGAGAGTCCATGTCTCCCTGTAAACGAGGGGCAGGATGTGAATCCCGGTCCTGACCCCTCATCACAAGCCGGAACCTCTCCGGGCCTCAGCTGCCTCATTGCAATAAGATGGGGAGGGGCAGACGAGGTAACCTCCAAAGTCTCATGACTGTGACCCCAAATGTGTGCAGCTGAAACTTAGTCGGGGAAAGTGAGCACAAATACTTCCATTCCTGTACAAATCTGCATTTTAAAAAGCACGATGAAAACTTCTCCAGTGGGTGTGTGGTGACATGGAAGGAGACAAGTGAGGAGTCAGGGGAGCCCTGGGTTCTAGTCACGGTGTGCCATGTGACCTTGGGAAAGTCACTTCCCTCCCCTGGACAAATCACCTAACCTCTCCAGGCCTCATCTGGAAAATGAGAAGGCTCTAAGATCCCTTTCCCCTCTAATCTATGATCCTTTAGTTGACCATAGTCAAGCCCTTTAACTCTTTGCCTCAGTTTTTCTCATCTGTAAAATGGGGCTATCCCATTTTACACATTTCCCACATCCTGGGTGCCTGAGAGGCTCAAATAAGAAGTTACAAAGTGCTCCGCACATGCCAAGGTTCCATGCGCCAGTCCCCAAAGCTCTCTTGCCTTTATTTTCTATATACTTCTCTGGGTATGTATCATCTTCCTCTATCGATGGTAAGCTCCCTGTTTATTTTTGGCTCTGTACCCCCAGTACCTGGCACACGATAGGAGACACTTTGAAAGTTCATACATTGATGACAGAATTCACCTGATTCACCAGCATCCCCACCCCATTTCCTGAAACTGAATCCCCTTCTTCCCTGGTTATACTTAGGGGGCTCCCTATTCAGTCCCCAGGAACTGATCTCAATCCTTAATCCCTTTCTGTCCCTCAATGATTTTTCTTTTCACACTCCTGGTTCCTTCAGGGTGAAGACAGCCCTTCCACCTTGACTCGGTGCCCCCCACTCCAGGGAGTCACCCCCCAGGCCCTCAAACACTCCTAGGGCCACATCTGTGACTCCACAGCATTTCACTAACTCAGGCCCCCAAATCAAAAGGAGGCTCTTAAGTACAGGTAGAGAATCCCCAGAGTTGGAAAGGTAACTTAGGGATTGTCGTCCAACCCTCTCATTTTCCAGACAAGGAAACTGAGGACCCAAGAAGGCATATGACTTGGCTAAGGTCACACAGACTGGAAAGATCTAATTTAGCCAGGATTTGAAGCTGGGTCCACTGATTCAAACCCCAGCACATTTTACCAAGTGACTGGCCAAGGAAAATTAATCTGGGGCATGCATACACACACACACACACACACACACACACACACACAAATGTGCCTCCTTTATAAGTAAAAGAGGACTAAATAATCCTTCAATGAACAAAGAATCACAGCCATTTCATCACCCAACTCATTGATAATCACATCAGACAAATCAGCGCTGAGCACAGATTCCTGGGGCACTTCATTATAGACTTCCCTCCCCACCATGGACCCATCATCAATGCTCTTTGGGTCTAGTCATTCTACCACCCAGGAGTGAATCTATGTACTGCTGTCTAGCACTTTCCACCTCTCTCCATATTTTCCAAGAGGACAGCATGAGACATTTTAGCAAACACCTCGCTGGAAATCTAGGTGAACAGAGCTGGGTAATCCTGGCAAAAAGGGATCCTGGTTTGCCTGGAGTGACCTGTGCTCCATTGGGAGCCCTACGCTGGCTCTTTGTGACCGCGGCTTCCTTCCCCAGATGTTCACGGAGCAGCTCCACACTCCCAAGCTCTGGAATCGTCTCAGGAGCTCAAGCCAAGCTCCTCGATCTAGTTTACAAACCTTTTACATCCGCAGGGTTTTGAAAATCCGGACAATGGCTGCCCTTTACTAGCCCTGAATTATCTCTCCTATCCTTAATTATCTTTCAAATATCGCTGACAGTGATTCAAGAACCATATCCACTCATTCTTTCTGTACCCGAGGAGGGCACACACCTGGGTTAGGTGACTTGACTTCGTCTAGGGCAGCCAGATCCTACCTCTTTAAAACTGCTTTTTGGGGAGGGGTGGTATCAACTCCCTAAGGAATAGTTTTGCTCTGGGCTTTACTAGTCCAAAGGCGATGCTTTTTGGCAGAGAAAACTAAAACAAAATCACGATTGGGAAGTTCTGCCTTCTCTCTGTGGTCAGTTTGGTTTTATCCATCAAACAAGCATTTATTAAATGCCTACTGTAAGCCAGGCATTGTTAGAAGACAAAAATCAAACGGTCCCTGCCCTGCAGGGCTTTACAATTCTTTCTGAGAAGATGCTTCCAGTCCTTTCCACCCATAGCAACATCTTCTCCCTTCCATGATCCTCTTCCTTTCCCTCTGAGGAGTTAATCCTTTTGGTTCCCTGCCCCCACCCCCTCACTAGCTCAGTTGTCCTTAGCTTTCCCTGAGGGCCATCTCCAGTTGTCCAGATCTATAATGGACCCAGATGGCTCTGGAAGATAAAGTGAGGCTAGTGACTCTGCACAGCCCTGCCTCACTTAAATCCAATGCGCGTGCGAGTCACGGCATCATCTTCCCAATGTCACCATCCTCTTCGAGAAGGAAGGACAAACCTCTATCACCTTAGGTCTCCCCACCAGCCAGTGTTTATTCTGGGCACTCCTGACCCTACCTTTACAGGATCACGGCACCCTTTTGTATTCATTCTGTTACCTACCCTTGCTTATCTTCTCAAAGACACCACCACCATGAAGCTGATCGGCGAATTCCCTGTGCCTTTCAGTCTCTCAAGGCAGCTGTCATTCTTCCTCCTCTTTCAGGCTGTTTCTCTGTCATTTTGAGCCCCTCCGCCTGTAGAATTTGAGGCCACTGGATGCTACCTACCCCTCCTCTGAATCCCCTGCCCACGACAGGCTATAATGAGAAGGACTGAACACTCCTAGGACTTATGGTGTCCAGCAAACCAGAACAGCCCCAGTCGCCACCTGGGTTTCCTCTCCTCTGCCACTAATACGGCATAGTCACCCCCTGCACCACCCCCAAGATCCCTCTCTGATGTCACCCTGGGTCATGGAGGTGACTCTGCCCAGGGTCCAGAAGGCTGGAGAAAGAGAGCAACAGCTCTGATAAGGGCTACAAAGCCAGACATGTAACACGGGTTTGACGCCAGCTGCCATCAGAGGGCTGGGCTGGCCAAGTTCTGGGAGCCGCATCTCCAGGTTGGCCAAAGAGTGCCAAGTCTGTCAAAGGCCGCTTCCAAAGGAATAGAAAGAGGGCTTGTGATCTGTGCTGGGGGAACAGGGAGTGCTCTGAATAAATCACAGGCTCTTGAAATACTGAATAATCATGACCAATGAGAAGGCATCTGCTTACGGGAAGAATTCAGGTTTCTACAATAAAGAATACCATCACATCATAAGATGCAAGAGCTAGGCCTCCAAGGCACCTCAAAAGTCATTTAATCCTGCCCCCCCATTTTACAGATGAGGAAACTGAGGCCCTGGGTGGCAAAGGGACCTGCCTAAGGTTATAAGCGGACAGATCTGTAGCTGGAAGGCACCTGAGGCCATCTAATGCCTCCCCCCACTTTACAGATGAGAACACTGAGGTCTATGGAAGGGGAGGTGACTTGCCTGTGAGTAAATGTCAGAGAGAGGATTTGAACCCAGGTCCTCTGATGTGAAAGCCTGAGTTCTTTCCAGCATTTTCTTCCTAATAACCCCTGTGAGGTTTGAGTCAACGTGCCAACAAACGTTTACGAAGTGCTAAGGCTGGGAATACAAATACGAACAGAAGCAAAGCCAGTCCCTGCCTTATCGTATCTCAACATCCCCAATTTATGGAGGAGCAAACGAAGAACTGAGGAGCCTGAATGACTTCTCAGAGGCCACACAGCCCCTGAGTCTGGAGGCCAGAGCCTTGCTCTGCCCCTGCTTGGTGAGCGACCTTGGACAAGTCAATCTCCCTAGAGAAATGAGGAGGTTAGACTTGACCACCCGAACAGTCCCTTCCAGCCCTGACATTCTAGGGTTAGACGTGCTTCGAAAGCGAGGCCGCGGTGATTAAGTGTCAATTAAGTGTTAAGAGCTGGGATTTGAACCCAGGGCAGCTGTTTGCTGCATTTTCTATTCCAGTAAGCTGCCTCTTTGATGGAATGCCCTGGGGATGGACCAGGTCAATGTGGGCATCATGAGGAAATCTGGCACCCTGGCAGAGGCGGCCACGGAGGGAGAGAGCAGCTGGCAAGTTAGGAAGACTCAGGCACAAGGCTTGCCTCTGACCCCTCCTGGCTGAATGACCCTGGGCAAGTCCCTTCAGCCTCAGTGTCCCAGGGGACTCTCAGACTAGCAGTTTGAGAGCAGGGGCTGATCTGCAATACTGAGGAAGCTGACCCCTCAGAAACTCCCCACACCAACAAAATCACAGGTTCAAACCAAAAAACCGTGACCCCCCCCACCAAAAAAGATGGAAGACTGAGGGTTCTTGGCTTTCTCTGCCCTCCCCTAAGGGGGACTGGCCTGGGAGTTACAACATTGCTGCCTGGCAACCCAATCCAAGAAGTGTGCAAATGCTGACCAGGGGCCGCCAGGCAGCGACATTCAGAGGCAACATCAAGGAAAAAAGTCTCTGCCCTCAAGGAGGTGATGGCCTATGGAGGCCACATAATGAGGAGATACAAGATAATCTGAGGGGAGAGAAAGGAGAGGGGGCAGAAAGAGAGAGGAAGGGAGGCAGGGAGGAGAGAGGAGGAAGGGACAGAGAAAGAGGAGAGTGAGAGGGGAGAAAGAGAAGGACGTAGGGAGAGGGAAAAAGGAGGGAAGGGGGAGAGGGAAAGAGAAAGAGAGGGAGGGAGGCAGGGAGGAGGGGGAGAAAAGAATGAAGAGAGAGGAGAGAGAGAAGAAAGGAGGACAGAAACAGAGAGAAAAGAAGGGGGAGAGAGTGAGAGAGAGAGGGAAGGAGAGAGGGGAAGAGATGGAGGGAGAGAGAGGCAGGGAGGAGGGGGATGAAAAGAGGAAGAGGGAGGACAGAAACAGAGAGAAAAGAAGGGGGAGAGAGAGAAGGAGAGAGGGGAAGAGATAGAAGGAGGGAAAGAGAGAGGGAGGAAGGAGGGGGAGGAAAGGAGGGAGGAGAAAAAGAGTGAGGAGGGGACATAGAGAAAGAGAAGGAGGGGACATAGAGAAAGAGAAGGAGGGACAGAGAGAGAAGGAGGGAGAGACAGACAGACAGAGAAAACATGCCCTCAACAGCTCGAGGTCTGAGGAAAAGCTTGACTCAGGCTGAGACTTGAATGAAGAGAGGGATTCTACCAGTAGAGGAAATCAGGGAGCACTCCAGACACACAAGAGACAGCCCGTGCAGAGGCAGAGGTAGGAGCCGCGTGGCTAGAACACAGCCTGTGAAGGGAAGTACCAGAAGGTAAGTCTGCAGCCAGACCACGGGGGAGCCTGTAAACATTGGGGCTGAGGAGGCAGGCTTTTGTTTCTTTGTTTGCGTTCCCAGATGGACTAGGGAGCCACTGAAGATTTTAGAGCTGGTGTATTAACAGGGTCAGATTTGTGCTTCTAGGGTCAGCAATGTTCCCGAACACAACAGCTGGAGATGCAAGCTCCAGGGCAATCCCCGGACAAAGAGCCGTTCTCCTGGTTCACCAAAACAGGGCTTGTTCTAGGCAGACCTTTACATTTCATCATAGAGGTGGTGTGGGTGTATTAGATAGAGCACTGAGCCTGGAGTCAGGAAGACCTGAGTTCAGACGTGGCCTCAGACACTGCAACCCTAAGCAAGCTGCTTCACCTCTTGTCTGCCTTGGTTTCCTTAAATGAAAAATGGGGGTAATAATAGCGCTCACCTCTCAAGGTTGTTAGGAGGTTCAAATGAGGTAATATCTGCAAAGCACTTAGCACACTGCCTGGCACATAGTAGGTGCCCCTTCCCAGCATGGTACAGTGAGCAGAATGCTGGGATTTTTAGTTTGAGGTTCAAATTTCAGCAACTGTGGACTCCCAGTGTGGCTATAGGTAGGTGCAGTAACCTCTGAGAACTTCCACACCCTCATCTGTAAAAGGAGGGCGGGGGAGGGCTAACAGTCAGGGAGCCAAGGCAAGTGCCCTGCCATGGGACAGAGGCAGTAGCTGCCGCCGGCGATGAGCAGGAGGGCACCAGGCTCTCCTTCTCTGCGGCCCGACGTAAACAGCAGATAAAAGCAGAGAGAGCCAGGACGGGCCAGGAGAGCTGGTGGTTATCAGAGACGGGCCTGTGATGCTGCGCCTGCCAAGGCTGTTTGTTTGGGAAGGAGAAAGAGCTTGTGATCGCCACCCAAGATCCTGGGGTGATACAGGGCCTGTGTTTCTGGAGCCTCTTCCTGTGTTAGCGCAAACAATGGTGCATATAGAGACGCAGAAAGAACGGACTTCAAGTCTGGTGACCCTGGGCAAATCACTGGCTCCCATTATCGCATCTGCAAAATGGGTATCATTATACAGGTCTGCTGCCTCGGGGTTGCTGTGAGGAAAACGTTCTGCAGAGATTACAGCCAAATGTGAGTTATTGGGATGGTAGAACTCCCTGGGAAGACCCTGTGTTGGACTGTGTGTGTGTGCGTTTAAGCTGCCTGAGGTCTGGGGCACAGAATATACCAAATGATTGGATAAAAAGGAAGGGAATAAGCATTTATTAAGCGCCTACTATATACCAGGCACTGTACTTTATAAATATTATCTCATCTGATACTCTCAACAACCCTGAAACGTAGGTGCTATTATAATTCCCATTTTACATTTGAGGAAACTGAGGCAAAGAGGTTAAGTGACTCATCCAGGGTCACACAGCTAGTAAGTGTCTGAGGCTGGATCCGAACTCAGGTCTTCCTGACTCCAGACCCAACACTCTATCCACTGCACCATCTACCACACAGCAATGACTCTAAGTTACAAGGTCAGAGTTGGAAAGGACCTTTCAAGGCCATCAGGTCCAATCCATACTAGGACAAGAATACCCTGAAAAACAAGCATGAACTTGTCAGAACGTAAGGTCCTTAAGAGTGGGATTGTTTCATTCTTTGTATTTTTCAGCCCCAGTGCCTAGCACAGGGCCTGGCATATAGCAGGTGCCAAATAAATGCTTGCCTCACTGCCCCCTGAGAAGGAGTCATCCAGTGACGGGGAGCTCACTCTGTCCCAACGTGGCCCATTCCATTTATAGACAGCTCTCATTAGAAAGAAGATTTTCCTTGTGTGGAGCCTATACCTGCCTCAATTTAACTTCCACCCAATGCTATTCGGCCTGCCCTAGTAGCTCTGCAGTCTCACAGCTCTTTAAATGCTTAAAGAAAGCTATCCTGTTCCCCCTTCTATAGTCTTGTCTACACCAAACATGCCCAGTTCCATTAATCACCTGCTGTATGGCACAGACACAGTCTGACACCCACATCCTCAGTGACACTTTCTGGACCTCTTTCTGCTTGCCCAGGGGGCGCCAGGACCAGTGATTGAGGACCTGAGCAGTCAGCACCTTGAGGACCCCGACATCGAAGAGAAGCTACAGCAATATATGACCTCCTCGGGGAAGACCAGGCCTGGGAATCTTCAACCATCAATTCTACTTGGTTGGTGACCCTGCATAGATTTTTCCCCCAGTATCTGACCCCCACATTTCCCCAAGAGTTGAATGGAGATAATACTGATACACAGCATCTTACACGTGCTCAAGTGCTTCTGACTTTTAAAAATATTTTCACATGGATTATCTCATTTGATTTTCCCTGGGCTCCGTGAAAGAGCTGTTATCCTCATTTGGCAGATAAGTAAACTGAGGCCTAGTTTGGGCACCTAAGTGACTTTCTGGAGGTCAACTCTGATGGTTGGTCAAAGAGCTGGGTCTAGAATCCAGTAGAAGTCCTGTGTTCTTTCCATTAGACCAGGGCTTCTTAAACTTTTTCCACTCACCACCCCTTTTCATTTAGGGCAGTGCATGGCCTGAAGGCACGTGCAGTGCAAAGTGTGCATGCTTTGTGTTCAGAACCAAGGCTGCAGGTGAAGTTGCAAGACGAAACAAGAGCAAACACTGCCAGAAACACCTCGGATTCATTACGCGTTTGATTTTTAATTAATTTTTTGTGGTTGCACATTCAGAAACCTTTTACTATTGCCAAATGGGAACCCCACATGGGGCCGAGACCCACAGTTTAAGAATCACTGGTCTAGACCACAATTTCCCCTTCCCATCTCTCAAGAAAGGGTGGGGAAAATGATACAATTCCCCTGAGTCCCTCTCTACTTGTGAACATAAAGGCACCCAACCCCCAGAGATTCTCCCTGCAGCAGGCTCTGCAGACACAAGGCAATGCATTATCACCAGCACACAAAGCATTTCTTACAGGAAGGAGATAAAGATGTAAGCTATAAGGCTAGTCTCTAACAGCCAGCCAGAAATAGAATCGGCCAGAGTTCAAATGAAGACGCTCGCCCTCCCCAGTGGCTAGGCCTACACGGGAGGCTGTAGTGAGGACTGGCCCTCCATCCATAATCTTGGATTCCCGAAAAGAGCCGGAGAGAATCGGGTCCAAAATACCTCTGGATGCCTTTCTGTGGTGTGGTCAGCGTGGAGGGAGGGAAGCAGAGAGGCTGGGTGACCCACTGGACAGAATGCTAGACTTCCATCAGAAAGATCGGAGTTTGAATTCCACCCGTAGGGAGTAAATAGGTGGGGACTGTTGACTAGTCATAATCCCTCTGAGTTTCATTTTCCACAAAAGAAGACAGAGAACACCACCCACTTCAACCAGTGTGAAGATCAAATTAGATAAGGTTTGTAAATGTTTATTAGACAAGTCCCCAGATCTCTCCATGCTCCAGGCAATCTCTTAAAATTCTAAGAGGTAGTGGGAGTTCCTCATACCAAAGAAATCAATGAGGTAGGCTAAGTGATACAGTGGGCCTGGAGTCAGGCTTCACCTGAGTTCAAACCCAGCCTCAGACACTTATTAGCTGTGTGACCCCGGGCAAGTCACTTAGCCCTCTTTGCCTCAGTTTCCTCATCTGTAAAATGAGCTGGAGAAGGAAATGGCAAACCCACTCCAGTATCTTTGCCAAGAAAACCCCCAAATGGGGTCAGGAAGAGTCACACAGGACTGAATAATAAAAAATATTCCAGGAATTTCCCTAATCCGTGGGATTACAAAGAAAGGTAAAAATAAAATAATCTCTTCCCTCCTGGAGGTGATGGGGAGGTGGGGGAAGGGCAGGTAAATAACTAGGCACACATAAGATCTCTGCAGAGGGAGTTCGTAGCAGCTGCAGGGATAGGGAAAGGCCTTCAGATAGAAGGTGGGGTTTGAGATCTATCAAGAAAGAAGCCAGGGAAGCTAAGAAGCAAAGGTGAGGAGGGTGAACCATTCCAGGCCAGGGAGAAGGACCTGGCTATTGCAGCTGGCTCCCAAGGGGAAATAAGGAGGACTGGGAAATCAAGAAGAGGCCGAGTTAAGAAGGGCTCTGAATGCCAAACCTAGGCGTTTGATTCTGGAGCTCACTCAAAATACTGTGATTTAGATTAGAAAAAGACTCTGGCTCCGGGCCTCATCTTCCTAAACTATAAAAAAAGGGGAATAATAATAATAATAACAATAGCATCTTCTTCACTAGATAATAAATGCAAAGCGTTTTGCAAACTGGAAAGCGCTATAGAAATGATCGCTATTTGCATGGGAAAGTATTGAGGGTGGCGGGAGGGCTTTTTGAAGGATCTGGCGCAAGGTTTTCCCCTCCCCAAGCCTCGGAGAAGCCCAGCTGGAGGGCAGCAAGCCGAGCTCCCCGTCTCCGCCCGTTCCCACTGGAGAGGAGGTCTCTCCGAGCCTTTCAGCTCAGTTAGGTAATAGATTAACTCTCAACAGCCCCTCCCCAGGGACTCAGCCCAGCCGAGTAGGAAGTCCTTCCAGAAGTCTCATCTCCGCCCACCTCCCTCCAACTCCCACAAAAAGAACAAAGTGGGCGAAGGGAAGGGGAACAGGAGACGAGGAGGGGCACCCCGGCCCCCGAATCCAAAGCCGGATCGCAGGGGCCAGAAGGCACCTATGGCTGGCCAGGACCAAGCCAAATTCCTGGGGAGGACGGTAAAAAGACCGCCCAGCTGGCTGCCAGGATCCCCCGGTCCTGCTGCTGTCCCGGGGCAGAGCACCCTTCCTTCCCGTGGGTACCCCACCTTTCCCCTCAGACTCTGCACGCGCCAGTTGTGGGGTCACCATCCCCGACCTCCCTCTTCAAGCCTCCTCCGAGGCGCGCCCAGAAGCCACAGCGCCCCTCTCCTAAAACGTGCAGGGGGAAAAAAGTCCTGAAAAAGTTAAGGGAAAAAAAGGAGTCTCCGGGCCGGCCGCGCCCTGCCCTGCCCCGCGGCCGCTGTCTCACCTGCGCCCGGGCGCAGCCCCCGGGGAAGCGGAGCGTCCAGCGCCGAGCGGCTCCGGTGGCGTCCCGTCCGGTCCAGTCCAGGGCAGTGCAGCCCGGCCGTCCCCTCCCCTCTCCTGCGCTGCTCTCCCCTCCCACTTCCTGTCCGCCCGCTCGGGATCGCGGGGCTGGGGCTGTCTGCGGGCTGCAAGAGCGGCCGGCTGCCGGGCCAGGGGCGCGCTCGTAGCCGGCTGGACCGGGTTGGCCCGGCTGCTGGGGGTCCGCCGAGCCTGGGGTAGGGAGGAGGGGGCGGGGCCGGCGCGGCCGCACCTGCCTACCTGGCGGCCGGGGCGGGGCTCACCTGGCTCGGCGCTGGGAGGGGGCGCTGTCAGCCGGGACCGCTGGGGGAGGCAGCGAAAGGGCTGGCCGAAGTCCGAAGGCCCGGGCCCTGTGTCACCGCCCCACCCCCCGCCTTACCTGCTGCGCCAGATAGCGAGGAGTCCACGTGACGGCGGAGCCGCACGGCCACCTCCTGGGGCAAAGTCCGCAGCCCGAGCCCGGGGCCTCACGCACAGCACGCGCTAGCTTGGGTCCGGCTCTGTCGTGGCGTTCTCCGCGAAGCTGGCCCCCTCCCCTCCCCTCCCCTCCTCTCCTCCCAGAATTAGGAGGCGCCCTGACTGGTCCGCTTCCGCACCGGGCCCCTTTCCCTCTCCAACTGGGCTCAGGTGCCCCCCTCCGTCTTCTCCAACTTCTGAGGACGCTTTAAGAATATATATGTGTGTGTGTGTGTGTGTGTGTGTGTGTGTGTGTGTGTGTGTGTGTGTGTGTGTGTGTGTGTGTGTGTGTGTGTGTGTGTACACGTGTGTACGTGTCTACGTCTGTCTGCAAGAATCGAAGAGTGTGCCTTGTAGATTTGAGTGCGTGCACGCCAGGATCTATGCATGTAGATCTGCATGCATATACAGATTTATGCTCACCTTTATGCGTGGGAATTCACATGCAAGCCTGTGTCTACAAATATGGCTTATGCATCTGTTTATCCTTGCACACATATGTTTGCAAGTTTTGTGTGTGTGTTTATGTGTATGCATGCCTGCATGTTTTATTGTGTGTGCATATGTATGCATGCCTACATATGTGTGTCTCTTCCAACTTATCCCTTTCTATAGCTGTGCATATATTTGGGTAAGCTTACGCGTGGGCAGTTCTGGACTGTACCTTTTTCTCTCTAGATACAACAGCAACTAATTCAGTGTTATCAAACCTAGGCCAGGGATTCTGAACCTTTTCTGTGTCTTGGACTCCTTTGGCAATCTGGAAAAGGCTATGGACCCCTTCCCGGAATCATGTTTTTAAATGCATATAACAAAAATATGTAAGATTACAAAGAAAACCAATTGAATTTCAATAGTTAATATATTTTTTAAAAAAACAAATTTTCAGGTTAAATAAGAACCACTAATGCAGTAGGTCCTCAATAAATGTCTATGATTGATTTGTCTTTCTATGCAAATCTGTGATTTCATGTTGTCCTCCCATCTGCTTCCCCCTCCCCCCACCCCAGTTCTTATCTACCCTTCCCCAAGCTTCCTGACCTTCTCTGAACAGCTCTGATAGCTGTGCACTTCTCTGGGTCCCAGGGAAACAACTACTTCCTCTCTATACCCAAAGCTTTCTCTACCCCATCCCTCCATGTTGTGGGCCAGGAGGGTGCTTCGGGTTACCTTTTCCATGTGATAGAGGTTCATTCTTTTTCTATCCCCTTAAACCTTCCCTAGGCTATAAAATTAGCAGTCCCTGTTCTTTTAACAAGTTCACTTGTCCATGTCCCTTCATGAAATATGGTGCCAGGAATCAGGGACCCTATTCTAGATGCTGGGGCAGAAAACACCCCATTGGTTTCTTTTATTGGGACTTGTGATTTCCTTAGTGGGAGGAGCTCGGAGGGGGAAGGAACTCAATTTGCCAAAGCAAATTAGACGTTCCTGGAGAGCTGCCTTGGGAGTGGGGAGTGGGGGCTGGGCACTGAGGGGCAGCGAAGGGATTGACCAAGGTCACCCAGCTAGTCTGCCTCACAGGTGGGTCTTGAACCCAGGGCTGTCCTGATTCTGATTCTTCTGGCCAGGTCCTCTGAGCTATGAATGTCATCCTTCAATTCATGCCGCCAGTGACTGTGTTAGCTTTGGGGAGAGGGCTTCATATTTGGCATCCTGGATTTATAGCTGAAAAGTCCAACTTTTTCAGTCTATCAATAAATAAGCATTTATTAAGCACCTACTATGTGCCAAGCACTAAGCGGTAGGGATAGAAAAAGAAGCATAAGACAGTTCCTGCCCTCCAGGAGCTGACAGTCTAATCCTCCAGATGATGAAACAGAGGCCTAGAGAAGAGAAGGAAAGGGCAGAGCTGGTCCTCCAATGCCCGTTAGTTTGCAGCCTTCCACAGCCTCCAAATCAGGGCTCTGGTGCAGCTGGCTGGTTGTTTTTTCACTGACTGATCAATGAGCCTTTTAGTTATCCCCCCCCCTTTTTTTTCGTTGTTAGCCTCAGCTGGTGCTTCCCACTGATAAACCAGGCAGCCTCCAGAGGACTGTGAAGGGCCTCCCTCAAGTCCAAGCCTCTGGGAGATCTATGGAAGAAATCTGGAATGCTTTACCTGGAGAAGATAAGCCTCTCGCAGGACAAGATAGCTGGCCGGCTTCAACTATCTGAAGGGCCGGCCTGGAGATGGGATCAAGGCCATTCTGCTTGGCCCCAGAGGGCAGGGCCCAGAGCAAAGGGTGAAGTTACAAAGAAACAAATGTAGGCTTGATGTTGGGGGGGGGGGAAGAGATTTCCAAAATTTCAAGTTGTCCAAAAGTCAACGGAGCACACAGGAGAGATGGCGGTCTTGCCTTCCCTGGGGGGTCTCCAAGTAGCTACCTTGGACACCCGAGCATTGGGTATGTGACCCGAGGAATCCCTGTCAAGGCCATGGTGTCTGAGGTCCCCTCCAACCCTCAACCGGGGCTCCTTCCCTGGAATCTCCCAGTTGCCTTACGGCTCTGAGGCTGTGCTGTGCCATTAGACCCTAGACCCAGAGCTGGAAGGGACCTCAGAGGCCACCCCTCATCTTACAGATGGGGAACCTGAGGTCCAAGAGGGGAAACGACTTGTCAGAAGTCACAAGTAGCAAGGACCAAGAATTGGGGTTGATGCCGGATTCTCTGTTTGCCGAGTCCAGCATCCTTCCCGTTACTTGCACTGAGCTGTTGCATCTGGTGGAGGTCGGCTGACCCACGAGGCCAGTGCTCTTTGCACCGCTTCCCCTCCGGGCCTTTTCCTCTCCGTGCATGGAAAGTCAGAGATCTCACTTTGCAATATCAGACGGGAAGAATGTTCTCTCCCGTTGGATTCCTGGCCCGGCTTTTGCCCAGGCCTGCTGAGTGGGGCTCCGAGCACCCTCTGCTGTTTCAGGAAGGGCACTGCAGGGTTCCAGAGGCTGGGCCTGCACTGGCCAGGCCGATGTGGTTGGCGCTGGGTTTTGGTGACAAGTGTTTATGTTCTGGAGC